ATCGTTTTGCGAGGTAAAGGTAAAATCTCAAAATGTGAACTGGGTCCAAGACTATATGGCTGTACGGAGTCTATTGCCTGTTGCTCAGCTCTACTCACAATCAATGTCCTGGCAGGTCAAATCACCCAGCCACCTTCTTGAATACGCAGTGCCAATGCGTAGATATGTACCAGACTCTTTTTCTCCTCCCGATGTGCCCCTAATTTTCCCAAAGCCAGGGTTGAAGTCTCACCTGCATAAAGATGGCTTTGGCCGGTGGTGAGAGTATCTCAAAGCTGATGGGAACTTTGAAATGAGGGGTGCCTTCCGAAGCCATCCCTGAAATCAAGCTTGACAGTGCTGGGGTGGTATACCCCCGCGTGCTGAAGAATTATGAATTACTTGCCGCCGAGCAACTATCCTCCCTTGAGGGTTTAACTTGCGGTATGCTGCGAGTTCGAACAGGCACCATAGTCTATCCAGGTACGGCGCGCTCCAGAGAACTCGCAGCTCCGAGGAAGCAGCAAGAAAAGCTCCGATAGCTCGGATCCCCTCCTTCATCTTCTTATCATCCGTCTGGTTCACGCAAACGAAATCCAAGAAGCACATGTCTGACTTGAGCGGGAAATAGGGCGATGCAAGCAGCCCCAATACTGCCGCTGTAGATGCTATCACCATGACCCAACAACCATAAGGAACCGTGCTCTGGAAGTCAACCGCTACAGCCTCCCAAGTGGTCGTAAGTGGCAGAATGTCCAGCAATACCAACATGTACGCAAGCACAACCCCGAATGCCCAGAACAAGAACACAATGGGCCAGCCGAAGTGCAGAAGCAAACACAGGAATTTCCAAGCTCCGTGCGTGTGCCAAGTGTGGGATAAGAAGATGTCATACCTATTTGTCTGCTGAGATGCAGAGAATATTTTTGATAGGCGTGCTTTGCTAACAGCAGATGGGTCTTCCAGCCACAACTTGTCTCCAAGCTGCAAGGTCTTGCGAAGCGAAATCCCTCGCATCAGCTCTGGGTCATTGATCCTAATTTTTGTTAAGTCTGTTCCACGCCTGCCAACTGCAATCGAATCCGACTGTAAAGCCGAAGTGCTGTCTGTCTCCTGCAGGTGAAAGGAAGGATGGATCAGCGCCTCGCCGTGTTTAGGCAGCTCAGCCGCAGCGCAAGAGGAGGTATAAGAAATCTGCAAGGCTGCCTCATGACATTCTGCTTGGCTGCTCATGGAGCAGCAGCTGCTCATTGCTGGGCTTGCCTCATCATGGCAAAGCGTGGATTGCAACACCTGGCCGACCTGGCTGTCCTGTTCAAACCGGGTCGCACAGCAGTTCTGAAATCCACATAACGCGTTTAGCGACATCTCCCGGGCACGTTTGTGCCTTTGTGCTAAGGTGTCTCATGTTTGATCAAAAGGGCCGAGCGCGTCTAGACTGCCACTGGCGCCTAACACTGGCAGCAAACGATTACCCAAGCAATTACACAAGCTACTCTCGAATGGTACCTGTCGAAGGTTCCCATTAGCATTTCTTGGCCGCATCCTAAATGATAAGAAATCAAAAGGGCGCCCCTACAGAAGAAATAGCAAAGCCCTTACAAGCCCCTTTTACCATCCAATTACATGGATTTTTTTCTTTGTCTCCTTCATTTCCCCTCCACGGCTCCGCTTTAAGGTTCTCGTGTGAATTTGAGGGACTCCGTAATCGCGAAAAACGAGTCAGGCTCCGTCACTTCAAACCCAATCACACAAAAACCGCCACCTTGAGGTCAGGCTCGCAATCGAAAGTCATCTTGCCCCCACTTCTTTGGAGCATGCCCCTCTCTTCAAACACCCCGAAGGACAAACTGCAATCCAAAGCCTACTTGCCTGCCGGGCAAGGGGTGCAGCTACTGGAAGCATGGTCTGGCGCGAAGTGTCCATAGTCGCACTCGATGCAACCCGACATTCCTGATCTGTGGCTTGGGGTTTTGTAGGCTGGTTCCAGTTAGCTTTCTTCGTGACTTGATGTATAGTTGTGCAAGCATAACGTGGACAACGCCAGGCCTTTTGCGTGTGGTTCTAGGACCTGGTGTTGGAGGACAGCTTCACCACACAACTCACCAGTCCAATTGCATCAGAACAAGATTTGCAGACCGGGACATAAAGCAGACTTCAGTAGCACAATCTCGCGCCTGACCCTTCCATATTAGGATGCTTATAATAAGGCCCAATCTAGCTGCTTATCAGACGGACTCGGTCATAATTGCTGCTTATTCGGGCCTGTCTGGCAACGGTCCGCGAAACTAGGCAAGTCTTACCTGAACCCCCACAGTATGTAGAACAATTGCAGTTTGGACCAATTTCAGGTGCCGCGTCAGCTGCTACGTAGTCTTACCTACTTTTGGGGTCCAGGTAGTGAGACGACACCAAGATTTAATCAAGGAAGCTAAAGATGCCTCTTCCCCAGCAGGCGAACAAATAATTCAGGCTCAGGATCAGAGAGCCAACTGAATGAAATCTGTTGCATTTTGCAACATCCAAACCCCTTCCATCTTGGAAGCCGACAAAGCTTTAACATCATCAAACAAAGAGACAAGAAAACCTCGTCTCCTCCCTCGCCCCCTTCCCAGACCAGGGCCACTTACCCGAGAAAGGAGCCCCTAAACAACAGCTGAGTTGAATTGGGCTTGGTGGGCGTGGGGTTCGGACTTTCGGTCTATCATAGAACCCAAGTATAGACCGAGGTTCTGTAAGAGTTTCCGTTCCAGAGCTTGCGTTGACAAGAACTCTGGTAACCCAGTGTCTACTTGCGGAGCTAGCAATCAAACCCGAGTTATTGCACGCCCTACCAGGACTTACTGGTGGTTAGTGGGGAATAACGGAACATAACCCCAATATAAATCTTTATAATCCCTGTATAAGCCTATATAGTCCCTTACATAACCCTGTGTAACCCCTATATAATATATTTCCAGTTTCCCTACGAAACACCAGTAACATGAACGACTTTTGCCACTTGCATGGGCATACAGCATGAAAGACTTTAGGGTTCAGGGCTTACGCCATGCTCTGCAGCTTGGATGGGCTCATGTGGGTAATATTAAGCTTATATTGAGGTTATACTGGGATAATGGGATAATGGAAAAGAAAATGGAAACTACTATAGTATAGGGATTACATAAGGCCTACATAGGGATTGTATGGGGTTATATAAGGATAATGGAAAGAAAATGGAAACTACTATTTAGGGCTTAGGGTCTGGAATCAACAAGACCACACGAGAGCGGTCTGGGCAAGTATGGTGATTGCTCCCTGAATCTCAAACCCCTGAACCCCCAAACTTCATCCTCCAGCGGCCCAACCCTAAGTAATAGAAACTCTGCAAAACCTGACGCGCAAACCTTCGAACACCAACACTTCACACCCCAACCCCACCCGAAACCCCAAACCGCAGTCCTGGCTGGTCTTGAAAGCTACCAGGATGGCACTTCAAGCAGGCAGGCATGCCAGCAATCGGTGCATAGGTCCTTGGCTGCGAAGCAGGGGGTTTTCGCCACATTGGGAGCCCTTCCTTTGATGGACTAGGAATTCAAAACTATCTCCAGCCATAGTTGGGGTTGCAATGGCCCCCGAATCGAGGCATCTAGTGAATCTTGTGGTTGAAGGGTTCAAGGTATTCATAGGTTTGGGCTTCGGATAGGCGAACGGCTTAGCATTGTGGAGGAGTATCTAAGGTCATAAGTATGAGCTCCTAATATGGGCCCTGAACTCTTGTTAACTGCTGTTAATTATAATGACTATTGCTACTACTTTACTATCTCTATTACCAGTACTATTGCTATTGCTACAACTTTTTCTGGGCTATAATTAACTGTTGTTACAAGTACTATTGCTGTTATTAGAAGTTTGGTATTCTTAGTGCTATTGCTTGCACATTACCATTACCAGCGCTAGTAGTAGTATTACTCCCTAGCCATCAGCTTGACGTGCTAGGTCTGCTCACACGTGTTATGACGAGCATGACCATGGCCAATCTTGTTGTCATTCCCGCTGCTATCAGACTATTTTTCCATTAAGAACCATACTTACGTTGCCCACCGTTGACATCTGCTTTGTCCTGGTGTGAGCTTTATACTTGGTCATCCGAGCAATGTCCTGGCCTTGGCCATGGACCTAGTAAAAAAAAACCAACTACCGTAACAAAAGCTATACAAAGGCATTGGGAGGCAGCCCTGCAGGGTAAGAAGCCCCGTCTGCGCAGGCTGTCTTGTATAAAGCCCAGAAAATTCGCTTCGCCCGCAACCCACACCTCATGCCACAGAGCCCAACAACAGTCCTCCCGTGCAGCTCGCCCCGACGTTTTTGCAGAGGCCTCACACCCAAACGGCAGCCCTGGATAAACATGTAACCTGACTCCGCACCCTGAACAAATCTTCAATACCTGCCTGTCCAAATCCCACATATGCTTTCAGCATTCTACGTCAATAGCACACATTCCGCATTATGCTATTCCTTTGACCCAGTGCTAAGGTGTCCCCTCCCTCCAAAAATCATCCTCTCATAAGAATGACAAGTGTGGCACCCACTGTATGAGCTATAGTAGAAAATCCTAGCATCAACCTGAATAACCCCCATAATCCGCCCTATATAATCCTCTATGTAACCCCTTTTAAGGAGTTTAGACTATAGCTGCTATGGCTGTATAATGTTACTGGATCTAGCGGTAATTACGATAGGGAGCGAAGCTGTCTCTTTATGAGGGGAGGGGGTGATCCAACTTTGAACCCTAAGTAAACCCTAAATCCTAAACTCTGAATCCTAAACCTTAAACCCTATGTTCTGAAACCTAGACCCGCAACCCTAACCCCATGTAGCCCATACTAGTGTCCATTTTCTTTTCCATTATCCCTATATATCCCCTATATAAGTACCAACCTACATACCCCCAGTTTCCATTTCATGTTCCATGTTCTTTTCCATTTGATTCTCCATGATTGGGGTAATATCCTACTATATATCCCCAATATAACCCCAATATTGAAAAACCTAAACCCTCAATAAACCCTATATAACCCCATTATAGTAATTTCCATGTTCTTTTACATTATCCCTATATAACCCCAATATCCTTACATATAACCCCAATATACCCCCTATAATTCCTACATAACCCCTATAATCCTTGTAGTTTCCATCATCCCTAGGCCCTACTACGCTTGTTAGCCACAGCGGCCCTGGCTCGCACGGCTCGCATGCCACTGTCTCTATGGATGAGATCGTGGCCCGGCGTGAGTAACCTCCCAGACCCCTAGGGTTTAGGGTCTGGGTTATAAGGTTTTTTGTTTCAACCCCACGGACTTTTGATGTCTGCCACAGGCACGGGGTTTTGGTTATAGGGTTTAAGGTCTTAGAGAATAGGGTTTAGGGTTTAGGGCGGATCCTGAATCTAGAAAGTAGATCCCCCTTCAGGGCTCCTGGAAACTAATTGTGTAGGGTACAATAATGGAGGGCTCTACTTTCTAGATCCTCCCAGGGTCTGTGGCCCATGCAACTCAAAGGGTTGGCCTACCAGGTAGCCATATTATGTCACTAGGGTGATCTAGGCGTGTTTGATGGAGTCCTCTAGTTGTCTTTCCAGTTCATTCGAAGACTTGCTACAGCAAGTTGGAACGACTCCTATCTACGGACACTGCTATTTGTTCATTACGCCCGCTATCTGACCACAGAAGCTTCGAAGCCTTTCCAAGTCAGCCCCTAAACCCGACGCGATAAAGCATGTGACAATCCTTTACAGCAGCATAGGCATAGGGGCCCTGCAAGAAGGTGCTCTCACCAGGCAGTGGCAAGCACTCCAGATCCAAAATGTTCGCAACTAATGGCTCTCAACGCTAACACTTCATCCCCACCAGCATGAAGGGTCGTAGTTGTGGCGTCTTGCAAAACCATGATTCAGCACCCTCTAAATGATTTGGTGCTGATTTATGCGAAGTTCCGTGGCCTGAAAAGGGGCACTGCCCGCATTAAACAGGACC